AAGATGAAGAACTGAGCTGCTATCAACATCACAGCATGATATCTCTTATGTCTTCTGTTGTAAAGGGCTGGCTTTCCTTTGTAGTGGCACAGATGTAATAAAGCAGCAATGGGAGCGTCTGGCAGACGCCTCAGGCCAAACCAGTCCAGTGAAAGCAGATCTGTGAGGAGATGGAGCTCAGATAATCAGAGATGAATTGGGAATGTTGACCAGAGAAATTTCTTCCACTCTAGTTCTCGCAACAGAGTGACACTCTCCCCTCCATAGCCACTGTTTAGAGGCCCACCAGTTACTGACTGAGGCCAGATTTCAGGACAGGACAGGGGTTTTAAAGGGGGACTAAGTCAAAACTAAAGCAGATGTGTGTGGATTTTAGAAGCCAGAGCATTGAGGGTCTTTAAGTGCAGAAAGTTGCCATAAAGTGCAACAGTGCAAAGCAGCATGAAAGCGATCGCCACGCATGACATTTAACACGGAAATGTGGATCTCGTGGGATTGGGTTTGTTTCACGGCTTCCTTTTTTTCCCCTTTGATTCTTTTTCACTCAGTCTAGGATGGATACAGGAAGATAAATTAATGCAGTCAATGATCCCATCAAATAACATCTAAAAAGGATCAGGATTTTCTTTGATCAGGAAGATTTCCGACCCTGGAATATTCATGCACACATGCCCCCCACCCCCACCTCAGTGGGCTGATTCGCTCTTTCTCTGGATGTGAATCCGCAGCCATGCGTGATCCAATTAGTATGATGAGCACAGGGTGTAGAGCGAGGCTAATGTTTGCATGTCCAGGAGAGTAAATGGATTCTTAGAATGGATTTCCAGCTCCCTTGAGTCTTAGCGGTTTGTGGCCTCTCTGCAGGAACTATTGGCATAGTTAAACCACTGTGTAACTCTATGGCCAATCCTCCTGCTTGGCTCTATCGTTATCCAGTCTGTTGATATGGATAATGAATAGTGGCCCCCTTAGACAAAACTAGAAATGGTGGCATGCAATTTTGATGCCATTCAGGCTACACACATTTTACCTTATAATTGGCCACTGCTATACTGTTTGTTTTAGATTATGTATGTCTGCAGCAGGAGTCTGTTTAAAATCATACAGCTAAGTATGCGAAGTAGTAATGTGTATTTTAATGATTTGTTACCCTGCTGGATATTTCTTAAATCATTATGAGTCAGATTGGAATGAGTAGTAGCTTACAATCAAACACAGACACACAGGAAGTGGCCACAGGTTTATTCCCTTCCATTCACCATACTGTAAAAACGCTAGTCGCACTCTTGATATCATTTGGAAACCGTCTGGAGGAAAAAAGACACACGATGAAGAGTGACAACAATATATTGGAAATGAAGATCAACACCACAAACCCAGTTCAGGTGCAGTTCAGTCAACAGAGTTGGTAGACTCGTATTTGGCCACTTGTGTCTGTCAGATTTAACTGTTAATTTATTTGTTACAGTGTTAAATTGGTCTGTTATCCTACTTTTTCCCATCATTGTTACACGAGTCTGTGGGGATTCACTCAAGCCAGCCTCAGGTGACTGGATGAGGACCTGCAATTTTTGGGTTCTAATAGGCAGCTGACTGACAAAATAATTT